TTTGTACTTCACATCCTATTCTCTATACCTACTGAAAGGAAAAGTATTTGAGAAAATGCAGCAGGAGGGATGTTGTTTGATAAGAACTTTTTATAAGTGACTTACTGGATTGTTAACAAAGAAGTTCATAAAATGTTATTCTAAAAAGTAGATCATCTAGCAATGAATTTAGGTGTGATACTGTTAAAAGTAGAGGGTTCTTGATTATAAAAATCCTCAGGATCCCTTCTAGCTTTTCAATTGAGAATTGTCTTGATCAAAATTTTTATTGTGATATTGGAAAATATCCCTTAAAAACATAAAACAAGCAAATCATTTGGGGTCTTTGGAATGATTTATTATAGATAATTGTACATATTGTGATTGAATTAACACGTGTAATTTCTGCCTTTTAGATGATAGATTCATTTTAAAGCAAATGCCACGTCTGGAAGTTCAGTCTTTCCTTGACTTTGCACCACACTACTTCAATTATATTACAAATGCTGTTCAACAAAAGGTAGAAATCCCAAACCTTGGTCTATAATCAGAGTTTACTGGGCTTTTTTACATCTTGGGGGTTAGTCCTAATGGCAGTTTTCTCCGTAGGAAGATATGAACAGGACATGACTAGATCCCTGTAATACTACTGAGGTGTGATAGAACACAGGGATTTCAAACTGTATATTCTTTCTACCTTTGCCAGTTGAGGAACCAAGTGATTTTGAGCAAGTTGCTTTTAATTAGTATACCATTAAGACCGGATGAAATTAGGTATACATTTAGTAATTTGTAATTTTGCTGAGACGGAAATTTGAAATGTGTGTTGAGAAATGAGGAGATGCCTCCCTTAGCTAGAAAGAAAGGATGTCATTGGCCTGGTTTGCCCACTTGTCATTTAGCAGTGACAACTGCTCCCCACCCCCATAAGATTATGAAGGAGTTACATAGATTTTTTTTTTCTTTAGTTATGGTTTATTGCATGTTATTGAGGGAAATTACATGTTATTATGAAGTTTCTGAATTTGAGCAACTGTGGAGCTTTACCCCTTGGGAGAGTGTTAAGGACCTAATGTTTTTATTGGTTTTGCTCATTTCTGAGACTCTTGAGTTTCTTTCAAGGTCCTCTGGCTGGTCATATTAATAGAAAATGTTTGGATATCATGTGGATAATCCAGATTACAAATAATCCTTTTTGATAAGAGTTTACTTTGATCTTTTCTTGGTTAGAGGCCCACTGCATTGGCCAAAATTCTTGGAGTTTACAGAATTGGTTATAAGAACTCTCAGAACAACACTGAGAAGAAGTTAGATCTCCTTGTTATGGAAAATCTTTTTTACGGAAGAAAGATGGCACAGGTAAGGATGTTGGACTATGTTAAGCATTTAGCTACTGGAACCTTTTGTATTCCTGGTTGTTGAATATAATGAATCAGAGTAACTAATTTTATAGTAAATATTTAACTTTGGTCATTAGTCCAAATCTAACTTTTGACTTTTTGAGCCTTGGAAGAAAGAATAAAGGGGAATTATTGTGGACTGGTCCCCAAATTCAACATACTTAATATGCTAGAATCACAAAATTGGTAGAAGAAGGAGGCAGATCTACTTCCAGCATCCCAGTTTTAAAGATGAAGCTGAGGGCCAGAGAAACTAAGTACTTTTTCAGAGTCACTGAGCTATTCCTAGAGCTCACGTTGGTCTGGATTCTAGAACAGTGCTCCTCAACATGCTGGTCCCTGAACTGTT